CCCTAACCTGGTGTGTTCCCACTCTCCAGATCACCTGCCTTGTGGCTGTCCTCCACTAGACGTAGATTTTCTTGTTTATTGCTTCCTCTCCAGGACCTGGCATGGTGCCTGACACACAGCAGTCAGGAAGTGTGCTTCCTGAATGGGAGACCAGGGGTGAGTGTTAGTGAGAGGCAGGTGTTAGGGGAAATGCTCAATGGCAGACTGGCTCAAGGTAGCCAGTGAGTTCTTCTCATTGCAATGAAGTGTTCAAGAGGAACCCTGGTCTACAGGAATGTCACAGAAGGACCCTGCAGTGGGGAAGTGAGTGTGAGCAACTCCAAAAGTTCCTTTTCATGCTAAATGACAAACTGAAAATGTCCTGCCGGTAAGGGCATGTTACGTAATTAAGTTTCTGTGAAGAGAGTAGGGGTGACGTAGAGCACATCATGTCTTTGTGGATTGAGCATCTGTAAGAATTCTTAGTGATGGCAATTTCTCCAGACCCCTTGCTTTGCCCACTGCAGGCCCAGGGATTAATATGTCTCTTTCACACTCCCTGCTTTAGGATGCTTTGCATGTGGGATGGAGAATGGATTCCGAGTCTATAACACCGATCCACTAAAAGAAAAAGAGAAACAAGGTAAGGAGTAACTGCCATTTCCTGGTTTCTCACCTTTCCAGCCCTACAAGTGCTGGGCTCTGTGCTGGGGATACAGGGGCATGATCAGCAGACGTGGGTGTTGGCCTGACTCTGATTTCACTAGTGAATTATCAACTGGTGAGAACTTCTTGTGTCTTTTTCTCTATGTCTGCAGTCCTTGCTAGCTGAGTTTGGAAGAAGGTGTGTATTTCATGCAGTTTTCACTCTTTTCTTGTTAAATGTAAAACTGTAGAGAATTCAAATGATGGGTTTAATTACAGCATATGGGACTCTTAACAAATGACCAACACTTTAAAGATATTATTTGTAATAATAAATTATAGTTTCTTCTGTTTACTTATTTCAGTGTCTTAGTCTATGTTTTCATGAAATACAAGTTTTCAAAAGCTGGAATCAGGAATTCTGTTGGTAAATAAAATAATGGTGGTCCTTCTGTTTCCCAGGGAAAAAAGTTAAATTTATGGGTGGAATTTTGTTCAACTTGTTTTTTCCTCCTATGGTTTTTGTTTGTTTGTTTGTTTGTTTCTCTTCTGTAACTTTTGGCATCTCCTGGTCTTCACTTGCTAGGAGAATCAAGCACCGCCAACAAGTGAGCAAATCTCAGATAAATCACAGAAAATGGGAAACACCCTTTTTCTTCCTACAGTTGTGGCTTTGGTTGTTACTCAGTGCACATGTTAAATTTCTGACGCTAGAACTGTTTCTCATCTGTAAGAGGAAGTTACTGCTGGAGCATCATGGCATCCTGGTGCTCCACTAAACAGGCGTTTTCCATTTTAGCAACTAATATCCTCCATCAGGGACTTTCAGTGTTTTTTTTGGGGGGGGGGAACATTGGAAACCGTTTTTCAGGTGGAATCTTATGTGCCACCCTAGAAATGTAAAACAGTAAGTGGTGCTTTATACTTGGGAATTTATTTTGTAAACTGAGGTTCATAACCTTATTTAGGGAAAATACAGGAAAATGGTCAGGGCCCCTCAGATGTTCAGAATCTTGCCAAGCATT